TGTTATCTGTATGCACCAAGGGTCTGAGAGTAACGCAATTTCAATTCTCTGTGTGTATGTGCTGTACATGTGGAAGAATTGACAATAAAGCAGACTTGACTTGACTTGAAAACAAATAATGATATATTTCTGAATTCACAGCAAATGCAACAAACTAATAGCCTACTGCATTTTTGTCACATAGAAATGCACTTGACAGTATAAGCATTGATTTTGTGCTAGAACATAGGAAATTTACTGCTAATAAATGCTGTCATGCTTTCCTCACCCTCATGTCTTTCCAAACCTGTATGACTTACTTTCTTCTGTAAAACACAAAAGATATTTTGTAGAATGTTACCAAACCATTTTGGTTACTCTTGATTTCTACTGTATGGACAAACATTTCTTGAATTTCTCAAAATATCTTCTTTTATGTTCCACAGAAGAAAGAAATTAATATTGGTTTGGAATGACATGATGCTGAGTAGCCTAAATTAAGACTTTTGGGTGAACTATCCCTTTAAGAACTTTATAATATTTGTAAATGGAAAACACCTCATTTATAAGACACTGATTTTTATCTTTAATCAGGCTCTTACTGAATTAACATTTTACTTAAATTGAAACGCAGCACTGTGCGGGAGACTGATTCCGCTCTGCTTTAACGCGCGGCTGGCGGATGCACCGGGTAGCACCGCTTCACACTTTTGGAATACTTGCTTTTTGCAGTTTCGCGTGGGCTGTAATTTAAAAACAGCGCCTAATATAAGGTCTCCCTCGCTTCGGCGATCGGCCCACCGGGAATGTCCCGGTGCTCCCGATGGCCAGTAGCTACATCGCTGGGTATGTTCAAGTAAGCTAGATATGCCCAGATGCTGCGCAATTAGGCTTATTTAATATATCATGATGAGTCTCGAGTTCAGTAGCCTATTTACACTAAATCTGCGCAGATTTGGCTTACATGAACTTCCTCAAGAAATTAATTGGGAAACATAATTTACGAAAAGTAACCTGCCAAATTGGCTAGTGATTTGACAGCGTTACCCGCCACAGCTGATTTTTACCCGCATTTGGCGGGTTGGCGGGTGTTAATTTCAAACCCTGATTATATTTATTATTTTCAATCAGTATTGTTATTGGATAATTAAATTAATCATTGAATTAGATACTATACATTTATATATATGATATATAGGTGTATATACAGATATAGAAATAGATATATTCATAAAATAAGTTATAAAATAACATTTTATTTTTTAAAATTTGTAATATTTGTAATTATATGTTGAAAAGTAGTAGTTGATCAGAATGGAATTTACATACTTCCATTTGTACTATTTTATTGCAATATAGATATATTAGAATTGCCGTCAGAAAATGGAAATGTATGCAAATTAACAAAGTGGCACTCAATTTTGCTTTCTGTTTGTCTTTTTGATGTAACAGGAACCTCAGCAAACCCATCGCGGTGCAGTCTAAAGAGAAGGAAGACCGTTATGTGGACAATTACAGGGTACTGCAGCACTGCAGGCTCTAATTCCTGTTTACACCAGCGCCTGTTAACCAATCACACTGTGGCTCTGTTCCAAAACCTGCTGAGCTGCCTACGTAGGCAGCATTTTTAGGCATCATAGGCACATTTCCAGCACAAAGGCTGTTCCAAACAGTAGGTGGCAACACTATGTTGCCTTCTAAGATATTTTCTTCTGGCCAAACTCTGACGTAGCTTCACAAGTGTCCTTTGCAGAAAAGGCGATCACAGAAATTCATTCCTACAACCACATTATTATAAATAATATATATTATAATTTATAATATATATAATATTATTTAATTGTGATGTACAGTGGGGAAAATAATTATTTGATCCCCTACTGATTTTGTAAGTTTGCCCACGTACAAAGAAATGAAGGGTCTATCATTTTTATGGTAGGTTTATTTTAATGGATAGAAAGAATATCAAGCAAAAAATCCAGAAAAAAACACTGTTCAAAGGTTATAAATTTATTTGCATTTCAGTGAGTCAAATAAGTATTTGATCCCCAAGCATAACTTGGTGGAGAAACTCTTGTTGGTAACCGGAGCCAGAATTCTTGCTGGTTGGTAGGGGATCAAATACTTATTTTACTTACTGAAATGCAAGTCAATTTATAACCTTTATATAATGTGTTTTTTCTGGATATTTTTGTTGATATTCTGTCTCTATCCGTTAAAATAAACCTACATAAAAATTATGGACCCTTAATTTTTTTGTAAGTGGTCAAACTTACAAAATCAGCAGGGGATCAAATAATTATTTTCCCCACTGTAAGTGAGCCTAAACCTGCAGCTCAATAATCAAAAATATAATTATTTTCCCCACTGTATATGTTATTATTTATTATGATTTATAATATATTATTTATAATATTAATAAATACATTATTAAATAATATGACTTTTACCATTTTTATGCTTGTGGGAGTATCATTTATTTTTCTGTATTATAATCAGTTGTGAATCAAGTGTCCCATGTGTTTATAAGACATTTATAAGACACCATTTCAGTTAGTATTAGGGATGCACCGATATCATTTTTTTTCAGAATCGATCCGATCCGATATCGAAAATTCTGAGTATCAGCCGATTCCGATCCGATCCGATACCAGTGCCTTTTTTTTTTTTTTTTAATCAATGTTGATTTTCTGTACTTCTGTGTTGACCTGATCGTCACTGTTTTGTGTGTTAAACACAATCTACTAAATATAGACAACTTAATTTTAAAGAAATATGTAATCATAATCTGTGACAAAAATGCTATTATAAACTAGGTTAGTGGATTATTCAGCAGCAAAAGATATTCTAGAAAAACCATGAGTGCACAATAATTTTATAAAATCTAAACATTTAGTGAAATAACATTATTTATAAAAGTGAATAAGTGTAGGACTAAATCTTGTAAAATGTTACACATTGCTCTTTGTATTGTTGTTAAATACATTCATTAAAAACAAGTTAATATATTTATATATAAATATATACTATCAAATTAAAAGACATTCAATGGAGGCAGCAACATATGATAGATAAGACAGAACGAGAAAGGCTTTCATTCTACACATGCATAACACTCTTTGATTATTGGTATTCATAATGCATTGCATTACTGTTTTATAAACTTTCATGTTTAATGTCATTAGCTGTGTGTAAGTGTAAGTAACATTGATTTCCTCCACAGTACCTGGAGGAGGAGTATAAGAAAGGCAAGAGAGAGGACGACCCCATGCCCCCCGTCCAGCCCTATCACTACGGCTCTCACTACTCCAACAGCGGCACCGTCCTGCACTTCCTCGTCCGGCTGCCTCCCTTCACCAAGATGTTTCTGGCCTATCAAGGTCAGTTTGAATTTGAAAAAAAGCTTTCAAGATTGTTCAGCCTTTAGACCAAATTCACTCCAAGCAGATTCAAACACAAGGAATGATATCTAACCCTATAAAGCCTGCAGTGTCACGTTTGATACACACATTTTAAGACCTATAAATGATACACGCATTCAAACTTTGCTGTTAATCCGGTCACACTCAATCTACTCCATGCCTTCTGTCATCTGATTGATAGTTTAGAGGGGTTTTTTTTTATCAAGTCAGAGCTCTTTTATTGTGATTGTACAAACGTCCAGCTCATGCGTCACGTGTCTTTCTGCTGTCAAATCTTCACTGATTTTTATTAAGTAAACGTAAGAATAACTAGTAATATTTCAAGATAAACACTTACTGGACTGAAGCAACTTAGCTTTACTTGATTATACATATAATTTTTTTTTTTTTAGAAAAATCATGCTGAATTGTGATTATCAAATGTGAGTGTCAAATATGATCATCAGGCATTTGAAGAACATTTATTTGTTCATCTCTCAATCATCATTGGATTGCATTGTATTATATATTTGGATCATTTAAATATCATCTACTAAGACATATTATTGGAGATATAGAGTGACCACTGATATTTAGATCATTTTATTAAGAATGTGCTATACTGTCATAAATATCTCATTGATTTACATTTTAAGCATCAGTATTTCATCCAGCTCATGCGTCACGTGTCTTTCTGCTGTCAAATCTTCACTGATTTTTATTAAGTAAACGTAAGAATAACTAGTAATATTTCAAGATAAACACTTACTGGACTGAAGCAACTTAGCTTTACTTGATTATACATATTATTTTTTTTTTTTTAGAAAAATCATGCTGAATTGTGATTATCAAATGTGAGTGTCAAATATGATCATCAGGCATTTGAAGAACATTTATTTGTTCATCTCTCAATCATCATTGGATTGCATTGTATTATATATTTGGATCATTTAAATATCATCTACTAAGACATATTATTGGAGATATAGAGTGACCACTGATATTTAGATCATTTTATGCAAGGATCTGCTATAAAGATCTCATAACAAGATTACCATTACAAGTTTCAGAATTTCATCACTTTTTGTTCATATAAATATCAGCATCTGCACCAACTTCCACATTTTTGTTCAGTTTGAGCCCCTGCATAAAACTTTTAAAGTTTTTTTTTCTTCTTCATATTCTCACTATATCATACTATATAAGCCATAAGAGATCAAATATGATGCTCCACAATAACAAATATGCAACTTTTTAGATTTGAATTGTATTTTGTCGATAAAATGTCCTTTTTTTTTTTTAAATATAGACTTATTTCTTATGTCAGGGTTTAGAGGGTTAATAAATAGCAATATTGATATTTTTTATTATTTTGGTACCTTATTACATACTTTTATCATTTTGAATGTATCTTAATTAGTTTGCAAAACCAAGAAAACAAGCTCTGCAACATGAAATCAAATATTTAAAATCGAATGCAGCCACGCCTTAATAAAGACTGAATGCATGATGTGTTGTCTGTTCATAACTCTGTATTACAGGCTTACACAGCTGCAGCTCATTGAGTTTATTCAGCATCATAATTAGGATTCTGCATCGCTACTTTAATATTTAACAGCACCTGTGTTTCCTGCGTGTGCAGCGAGGTCTTCAAACATGTCAGTGCGATGCTTTTAAAGGCTGTCATTGAAAAGAGCCTTTCTGAAGCCTCACGCTACATGCATTAGCCTCAGAAAGATGATCAGGCCTTTCATCCAGCCTCTTTATTCGTCTTTCCTTCTTTCTCAGTCTATTTTTAGTTCGGTTGGTTTATCCATATCAGGTTACACAAGAAACTAATGAAAGGTTTTGTGTGTCTTGCAGACCAAAGCTTTGATATTCCTGACCGAACGTTCCACTCCATGAACACCACGTGGCGTCTGTCATCATACGAGTCCATGACGGATGTCAAAGAGCTCATCCCAGAGTTCTTCTACCTGCCCGAGTTTCTGGTCAACAGAGAAGGTGGCGCTCTTGTACTACTGGTTTTCTTGACTTCTTTTTCTAGCATCCAACCTTTCATGATTCCAAATTCCAATTAATTTTTTTCTGGGCTCTGTTTTAATGGTTAAATTAAATTTTAATGATCAAAAAGCATGCCTATTTAGTTAAAATCTCGAATCTTACACAATTTAACAATTTATCAATAATGACATTTCCAGGGCCATATGAAATCCATTTTATTTTTTAATTTATTTGTTTAATTTTTGGAAATTCCATTTTATTTTATTTTCCAAATTCCATTTAAATTTTTCTGGATTCCATTTTGATGGTTAATTTAATTTCGTAATTAAAAAGCATGCTTACACAAAAAGCAAACTTACACAATTTAACAACAATTTAGTAAAAGTTTTGCAATTTATAAAAAAAAAATTCTAGATTTTTATAGTTAAGAAGCATTTATAATCAAATTAATTCCACTAAAATGAACTAAAGTTAATAATTTCTTAAAATTTTTGATCGGTGCCTATGAAATGTTTGGTTTTTATTGGAAATAGCGTATTGTCTGTTTTAATTTTTCTGGATTCACAATTTAATATGAATTTATTATTAAAAAATGGTGGTAATAAAATGAAAGCGTAAAACATTATCATTAACAAAGTAAGTGCTGCACAACAGAGTTTTACTGTTAAAATTAAAGCATGGAAGAAAAATTATATTCCTTAAATTATTTTAATCGCTTTATTATTTTTATTACTTTAAGAAGTATATGCTACTGTACAAAACTAATATATTTCTGTCATAATTTCAAGTTAAACTGAACTTTTATCTTGACGAGTTGTTGTAAAGGCCTTTAAGCTTCTGCGTGTATTTGATGTGAAGATAGTTTTTATCAAATGAAATGATGAAATGCTGTTGAGTCTTAGTAAACAAAAACACCTGTGTCAAAATTCAAAAAAGAGAAATAACCTTTAAGTAACCTAGATCTTCAAGATGTAAGCAATGAATAATCATGTAAAAACATTAGAATTGAATTATTTGAACGCATCTTCCCTCTTCTAATGTTAGCGTGGTATTTCCCACTTTCCCCTCTGGCAGGTTTTGACTTTGGCGTGCGGCAGAACAGCGAGCGGGTGAACCACGTGAATCTGCCGCCGTGGGCCAGGAATGACCCGCGACTCTTCATCCTCATCCACAGACAGGCTCTGGAATCGGATCAAGTTTCGCAGACGCTCTGCCAGTGGATTGACCTGGTGTTTGGACTCAAGCAAAAGGGCAAAGCTGCAGTCCAGGCCATCAATGTCTTTCATCCTGCAGTACGATTGCTTATTATGTACAGCTATAGAACACTTAACTGATATTTTCCATTTTTTGATAGTTGGATCAAAGCCTGTCAAAAACATGCCCAGGTCATATTTCATCCCAAAGTCAAAAAAATTTAAGAAAATATAAGAAATTATATTTTGCTTAAGGGAAATTAAGCTTATTTTACAAACTAAATTTTAAATTAGATGCACTACCATTCAAAAGGTTTAAGGTAGGTAAGATTTTTTTGTTGTTGTTGTTTTTGAAAGAAACCTCTTATGCTCATAAAGGCTGCATTTATTTGATCAAAAATACAGTAAAAACAATCATATTGTGAAATATTTTACAATTTAAAATAGCTGATTTCTATGTGGATAGATGTTAAAATGTAATTGATTTCTGTGATCAAAGCTGTATTTCCAGCATCATTACTCCAGTCTTCAGTGTCACATGATCTTCAGAAATCATTCTAAAATGCTGATTTGCTGCTCAAGGAACATTTCCGATTATTATCAGTGTTGAATATTTCTGTGGAAACTGTGATATATTTTATTTTTCAGGATTCACAGATGAATAGAAAGTTCAAAAGAACAGCATTTATTTGAAATGGAAATCTTTTGTAACATTATAAATGTCTTTACTGTCACTTTTGATCAATTTAATGCATCCTTGCTGAATAAAAGTATTAATTTCTTAACAAAAATCAATCTTACTGAGCCCAAACCTTTGAATGGTAGTGTATATTTCATAGTGAATTGGTAGTATGTATATATATATATATATATATATATATGTGTGTGTGTATGTATATAGCATTACTATATGTCAGCCAGAAATCTCTCTAATACAAAAAGACATTGATAAACCATAATGGACACATCCTTTAGCTTTAGCCTGTCAACTAGTATCCATCTGATTTTTCCTCTCGCTCCTTTTTAGACTTATTTTGGCATGGATGTATCTGCTGTTGAAGACCCTGTGCAGCGTCGGGCTCTAGAAACTATGATCAAGACGTACGGCCAAACACCCAGACAGCTGTTTAACGCCTCGCACATCAGCCGAGCCGGAACCAAACTCCTATCAGAGGCAGAACTGCCTGCAGCCATGGGCCTCCTGGTGCAGCTGGCCTTCAGAGAGAGCCGCGAGCAGCCCAAAGAAACCATCTACCCGGTACAGCAAACATACAGCGCTGAAATTATTATTCAGATTGACATTAAAGAGATAGTTCACACAAAAATGAATATTTGCTTAACATGTACTCATCCTCAGGCCATCCAAGATGTAGATGAGTTTGTTTCTTCATCAGATTTGGAGAAATGTAGCATTG